AATAAAAAACCTTTAATTTTCTTTTTACATCAAAAAATAAGAAAAATGGGATTAACTCAGTCTAGGCAAGTTAGTTCTCTGAAAAGAGGGCAACAGGTCACAAAGGTCCTTTAAAGATCCAAATTAGGAGATATCTTTTATCTAAAATCCTAATATATATACTAGTATAGTTTTGAAATTAGTTAACTTTGAAATAGGTAGTACATATGTAATATCTGAATAAATGTTAATAAAGACCAACTGGAAACTGAGCCAGCTTTAAAAAAAAAATTTTATCTTATAACTTAATTTATTTATTTATATTTTTTTAATCTGCAATCATGCTACTTTGGCATGTTTTTATTGAAATATTGAGAGATATCAAAATATTTTACAGACTTTTTTACAAAACGACTAACTTGTCATTGTATATTATTAGTTAAGGAACTATACTACTTAAAAAATATGATAAGTTCACTAAACTAGTTCAGACTAATCAAAACTAAGTCTAAACTAAGAATTCTAAGTCAGATTTAGAAAACAATATTACACTCTTCTAGTAGCTTGGTATAGTGTTTCTAAATTAATCAGGATTATTGTCAACAGTTTGTCACAGTTGATTATTCTGAAAATGATGAATTGCTAAAGTTGATACTAGGAAAAAAGAAAAAGGGAAATATAATTCAAAGCTCTTTAAAAGGTTCTTATTTTATTTCACAGTTTTTTTTCAAAAAGAGTTTGCCTAATTGGAATGTTTTCTATACTTTATAATATTTGAGGAACTTAACCATTCCTGAAAGTAATTTTAAGAAAAATATTTGAAAAACTTACCCTTTTACTAATGTACAGATTCATTTAATGCTACTGGAGCTAGCACCATATTATAGAAGAGTTTATCTAACTAAAATAAAGAAATCTTTTTAAGAATTTTGTCTGACTGGGATAGAAGCTTGGAGATCTTGGCTTTTGTTCAAAAAAACCTTTTCACTATCTAAGAAACTTAATGAGAGAAAGAAGTTGGATCTTCTTTTTCAACTTGTTACTTGTCTTTTAATATTATAATTGTTTCCTGAAGGTAAATATACATGATTGAAGGAGGCACTTTTTCTAGAACTTTTTTTCTATATCATTAATAATATATTGAAGCACGTGAAAGTGACCAATAGGAGCTTGTTTATATTCTAACACTGACATATTTCATGTCAATCAATTATCTTTAGTGAGAATTTGTGTTATCTAAAATTTAGGATCAAAATGAAATAGGCAAAATTCTTCAGAAAATTGTAAAAATAGGAGCTTCAAAAGAATTAAAATGGTCAAAAAGGAAAAAAATAAGCTTTTTTATTACAAAAAATCTTTATAAACCTTTCACTTCCAAGATTAGATAGACCTTTAAGTACTTTACAATTAGTTTTTCTTTCTTTGGAAACTTTCTTGCCATTGGTATCAAAGGTATTACTTGACTTTTCTTGATTACTAAAAGTCACATTTTTGAGTAAAAAGGTTTATAAAAAAAAAAAAAGCAGATGACTCTTGAAGTTATACTTCAAATTGTTTTAAGAAAATTATTGAAACTTTATTAACAAAAAAGTATAAAATTTCTTGTGAATATCTTTTTTGTATATGGTTGAAGAATCAGCAGAAAGAGTTTAAAATAAAATTTAATTATATATAGTATTACAAAATATTTGAAATATAATAAATTTCAAAAGTAAAAATCTTATTAAATAATATATTTTTATTATATTTTTTTTAATCTATTATTAAACTAATATAAATTATTTTTATTATATAATATATATTTGATTATTTGTTAACTTTTATATATTTATTATTAAATTTATTTTTTAAAGGCAAGTTAGAAAATGATATTTTATTTATTTGGATTTGAATAATTTTTTAATTAAAAAAATTATAGTTATTAATTTATTATTATAAAATTATATTTTTAATTTTATTTATTATGTTATAAAAAATATTTAGTATAAAATTTTTTTCTATAGATACAACTTTTTTTATCATAGAAAATTCAATTCAATTTTTATTATTTTTAATTTTAAACAAATATATAAATTTAATTTTATTAGAAAATCAAAAATATATATATATAAATTAGATAAAATTATTTTATAATATATTTATAAAAAATTATTGTATAAAATATTATAATTAATATTTATTTAAAAGATAAAACCTTTGATAAATATTATTTTAAAAAGATGATTACAATGATTAATAAAAAAAGCAAATAATTTTTTTATATAAAAAGTTATATGATCATATAAGATATATTTTAATTAAATTTATATCTAAAATTTTAATTTTAAAATCAAATAAAATTAGATTCATAAAAAATCTGATAAGAATAAATTTATTTAAAATTTTTTTTTATATTAGTTCATAAAATCAATTGATTTAAAAAATGAATAAAATAAATAAATAAATTATATTATTTAAAATAATTAAATTTTTTTTTTAAAAAAAAAATCAATTTAATAAATTTAGACTTTTTTTTACAATATTGACAATAAAATTCAATATAAGATATTTTATTTAAATTAAATTATTTTCAACTTTTTAAAATTTAAATGCTTAAATTTATAATATTAAAGTATTTGGCATATTTACAAAGAAAAAAATTTTATATATAAATAACAATATTTTGAATGGTAAATATAATCAAAGATCTATGTTACTATTTTAACTTTAAAATTAAGAAGTTTCTGAAATTACTATAATAATTAAAAATGAATAAGTAAATTATTCAAATATCAAAAAAAAAAAGAAAAATGATGATAATTTTTTAACTTAACTAATGTCAGTTATTGTTTTTTTAATAAAAATGGATAGAAGTAGATTACTGATACTATTTTAAAAGAGCATTTGAAAAAGAAAAGTCAATTAAATTATTTATAAAGATTAAAAACTAAAGATAATTGTAATAATCCGTTTTAAAAAATTTGGTTTCTTTTTATTTAAAATAAAAAACTTTTCCCCCGCAATTACAGTATAATAAACCAAATGCTGTAAAATAAATATTCAATAAAAGATATAAATATACAACAATATAAACCTTTTAATACCATTTATCAATAAATTAATCGGTTTAAACTAGCAGAATAAGCAAAGTTCAATATACATTATTAGAGATAACGGTAAGAAAAGTAAGAGCATAATAAAGTCAATTGGGAACAATGGACAACAGTATATAATACGCAGCATGTACAGTACGTAAAGTAAGCTACTGTCTAATTAATGATTACAAGAAAAGTTTCCCCTGTTTTAAAACACGCACAGTATGTGAACAGTTAATGACAATAACTCCCGAATATAGATGTAAACATCCAATTAGGGGGTCAAGGGTTCCTGTATCCAAGGTCACAAGAAAATGTTCGTTCACCAGTCGACGTTGAGTGTACACTACATCATCACACAAAGGCTGTGTAGTCTAACTCTTTCCGCATTTACTAGGCCCGCAGTTCTCGGCATCGCCTTTGTTAATATTGCGTATACAGCATGATACGTAATTGTAATTTGTTTGTTATATACAACTCACTTGAGGAAATTCTTACCGGGTGAAGATTTGCCTTCTTGAACTACTGCAGCATCCGCACATCCCCTCCTCATGTGTTACCCCTAATGCAAGATAAAAGGCATGATGCAAGATAAAAAGACATGCAGAAAATCTTAAAATTTTTACGAATGGATTCCTCAGTACCAAACGAAAGATCATTTTACAGGTTCAAGCAAGTCACGCCATCATGAAAAATATAATGCGCGCCGGTGAAAAGTTCCAATCAGAGGAATCCAGCGGAAGCAAATGGGTGCCTTGATTGAAAGAAAATGATCCAACGAGATAGCCGCGGATACATCCACCAAATCAAAATCTTTGGATGCTCATTTTTGGAATAAAGAGAGGATTATTGTGTTTCTAATTCGATTGTTGATCGCCTTTTCTAATTTTGTTGATACCGTTGCGTGTGTTCCCTAACAAAATTCCTAAACCGGAAATTTCGCCTTATCATGAATAAACAGATAGAGATGGATAAGCGAAATGTCTAACAGCATACAGTAGATAAGGTAGGGAGAAAACCGGGATTTCCGAGCGTGCTAAAACTTTTTTACGAAGACGGACTTTTCCGCTCCGGAGATGCAACATGCACGTTTATTAATATTTACCAGTCTGATTGGGTCTTCTCAGCGTCGGATCTTGACGCGCCAGTAACACGAGATTTTAAGGTTATGTAAGAGAAACCATCGTCTCACCACTAAGCTGGAACACCATTTACGACATCGACTCGAATAATTCATACCCCGCGTGCACCTTGTTTACCGCACCGTGTACATAAGATTGACAAGACTTCAAACCTTATCACGTCCCACTATTGTTTTGCAAATTTAACCGCGTGATAGGAACAAATAAGGATTACATGTACATATACGTTACGTAATTAAAACAATGAAATGATAACGATTTGAAAATTAATAGATGCCTTCCAGTATATTGTGACCGTATCACATATTCTGGTATGCTCCACTGAATACGTGTACATACTGTACTTATGTATTTAGAATATCAATTCGGTTATTTCATCTCTCTTTCAACTTTCATTCCTGGAGATACATCGGTGTTAATGGCTTTCAAACACATGCATTAGGAAGGGGTGAAAAGGAATAACGTCAAATACACACCATCATTTATTTATCATATCATATAACAACGATTGCCTACTTTCCAGTCCGTTTGTACACGTCGCCATCCATTCCGCACCCGATAAACGTCAAGTTATAAACTTCACGCTGAGATATTCGTATACAGTATAAAACTGAATTAAATAACGCTTGACATTACCAAACAATTCACATTGCGAAAACTTGAAATGACCGAATCCCCTGCAACCGAGATCTCCAAACCATCATCATTCACAAAATCCCAAAATTCACAAATTCATCCTTCTAAAGAAACCTTAGGAGATGAGTTGGTGATTAATGGTGGAGGTGGAAGTGGAGGTGGTGTTGCCATGGATGCTGAAGCTACTGGTAGCTGTGGTTTAGATAGTGCAAAAGTGGAGGTAGATGATGGTATCGAAAGGATGAATGGAGGTAAAGGAAAGGCAAGTGAAGTGGAAGAAATTGAAGAGATGGTGGAAGCGAATGATTTAAATCCCTCGAACAATTCCCCAATCCAATCAACTTATAATTCTAACATTGGCACCGGAAATTTGAATCACTCGAATTCGAAAGAAGCTTATTTAAAGTTTGTTGAAAATCCGAAAGAGGTTGCGAGAACAAGTGGATACATTGAGGAGATTGGAGACAGGAATAGTGGTAAGTTTACGTGCATCACAGGCAGCTTCCCGTATTCATGTCCTTTTAGTTTTTTGAAATACGTGGAAATTTCAAAATTCAGATGCACTCGAAACATTATTATTAGCTTCCACGAATTCCACATATACTTCTACAATCTCAATTTCAACCACAGCCGTCACAACTCCCTCAATAAACAACACATATAATAATTCCGCAAAATCACACCCAACACTCACATATCACGATAACTATTATCAAGACGACGATTTCATATCAGCCGAACCTTCCAGTAGCAGAAGTCCAAATATTGAAATCGGTAGGTACATCATAGACGCGCGTGCAGTAGATTGATTCACTGTGAATACTACGTATACGTACATACATTTAATGTGTCGAATGCGTCCGTATCACATGATGCAGAGAATTTTTATTACTATTTTCTTTTGTTCTCTCCTGCGCAGAATCCTTGCCAATTGAAATTGAAGTATTAGAGAATGTTGGTAAGAATCTTGACACTCAAATACACAGTGAAAGTCGATATAACGGACTTTTCCTCCAGGACAGAGTTTGCAAGTTGTATATTAAATTCCTATTTAATAAACATTCGATATTACGGACAAAGGTGTAAAAAAAGACCATGGTCTCAATGAGTCCGGTATATCTACTTTTACTGTGCACATATTTTATCATAATAATCTTTATCATTTTCATCAAAATCCCATCATAAGAATAAAGATCATAAAAATTCATTTGTAGATTCTCAGGAACCACCATACATACCTACCTTTGAGGAAGCATATGGTATGTCGCCTTTTTCTTTCTTTCTTTTTTTTTTTTTTATTGGAATTATTTATGTTTGCTTCCGAATTTTTAAAAAATCTTTTCCTTTCTTTTCTTTTTCTTTTCTTTTCTTTTCTTTTTTTACCTTGCACCTAGGTTATTCACCATATGAATATGAATTTGAATATGAGTTCATAGAAGATGGGGAATTTAAACCAAGAGCAGCAGGAGCATGTAGGTTCAGTCCGACGTTTATCGAGGCTCACATGAAACATTCTTAAAAAATTTTCATACACACTCACTCTTTCGTTTGTTCGCAAAATAATAATAATAATAACAATTAAGTCCGTGCCTACAACAACAGATTCAAGAAACCGAAAAGTAAAGGTAAGAAAATGCAAAAGGAAAAGGAAAAGGAAACAGAAAGTAAAATAGATAAATACTTTTGTGGGATCCGAATTAGGAGCAGGTAATTATCATTTGTTTCGCAAGAACCAGTGGTGTTTGGATTCTTCTAATTTCTTGGTGCTTATTTTTTCAGGTTTCTTAGGTGGCTGCTCTTTTCCAAATATAATTAACTGGATTCTTGCGCATGAAACACAATAAAAGCCCGAAAAAAAGAATGAAAAATGAAACATTTTTTCAAGTTAATACACGTATCACGTGAAGTTTAGATAGGGCATTGATTAATTTATTTTATTTTATTTATTTTCGGGCGAACACAAACTTCATCGGTCCTCCACACACTACACTCTAGTCAAAATAAACGGATTTTGTCATAGATTTTAGGTTGATGTATCAGTCAATACACAATATTCATTACTTATAAATAATTTATGATTCGGTTCTTCGCCCATCATATCTTTCAATCCAAATGCGTATCTCAATTGCGCCTCGGCAATCCCTTCATCAGCCGCCTCCTTGAATAAATTTAACGCCATATTTTCCCTGTTCAGCTGACTACACGTTCGTGAGATGATTCTGGCGGTGCTGCTAAAATTCTGTCCTCATAATTATGATTCCGAGATCGAAGCAATGGAGATTCTGTGTGTACATAATTCTCGTTATAGATATGATTTTAACTCGTGAGTATGTATTTGAAATCTGGACAAAAGTTAGATTGTTCCTGTTGCCATGCTGTAAATTTAAGGAAGATAATGAGGAAAATATGACGCGATGTGCTAAGCGAAGTTATCGTCTCCATTTACCCACCCTCATTACCTTTTTTTATGATTAAGCCAAGTTTGACGTTGGGGTTGGCCCAAAATTAAAGATTTTCTCTATGATCCCTCATCACATGTGCCTGAATTTCCGCAATACCCGTTCCCATGTACGGAATCCGTTGAAATGCCAACTCCCAAGGACGCATTCCAAGACTGTAAATTTTATAAACCGTCAACAGAAATATACACACGCATAAGACCTCAAATTCGAAACGTGAATGAACAGAGTGATTTTAAAATTGATCACCTAAAGATTTCACATTGGATAGTACATAATGCTTGTGTGGATTTTTATAGGATTTCATCTTTTCCGTTGCCATCCAGTCTATGACCGACTCAATATCGGGAATCTTAACTGATGCCTCATTCTGAATTTGACTCAAATGAAAATTCGTGATCTTCGGATCCATCTTCTCGGTTATCTGAAATTTCTTAAGGTGCTGAATGAATGATGACACGAGAAAAATAACGAACACATGCGTCACAATACTTTACCAAGATGTTGGCGCATCGAATATCGTGATGAAGAATTGTAAAAAGGCAACCCACAACATATGTTAACAGCGGTCCTCAACTTGTCATACCAATAGAGATCATACTGTTCGTATAATTCCTTCAGAGCACCATGACTCGCCCATTCATAAACCAAAACGGTCCCCAACTCTGGAATGTAGGATTTTCCCCAAAATTTGATGATGTACGGCAATTGTTGTAACTTAAGAATTGCATGTTGTGCCTCGATCCTCTGTTTTTTCTCCTTCTTCAAGCTTCGCCGGTTTACAACAGACATCCTCCAAAAATTTCTTGTAGCGTTTCTTAACCACCATCTCATAACTTCTCACATATCCTGGAATGTATTCCAAATCATAAGGATGACTTCTGACGGTTTGAAACTTATGTCACTCTTTCTATGACTATTGATCGGTTGTCCCCCGGCAGAAAGCTGTCCACTTTTCTATTCCATATTTTTATCGTTTCAAGCACAATGTTAATTGGTCTTGTCCCATGATTACGACCTCACTTAATTGCATCCAAGATCCAAGAACCATTCAATGACAATATTTAAACGAGATAATTATTACTACCATGGAATGATCCGGGATAATGTGATCTGCTCCGAAATCGTTATCTTCGCCATCTCAGAAAGGTCGTCCTCAAGTATTTGCATGTCTTTCTTCCTCTGATCATGGCAAGCTGTAGGTTAGCGACGCAAGTATCAAAATCGCCGACGAGAAGTGAAAATTTCTCTTTTACTAAGGCGCTTGGGATGTATTTACGATATCCCGAGAGGTGAGTAACATCTTGGATGAATACCTTCGTGCGTTGCAAGATGGAAATAAAACATTGAAATGCGTCATTATATTCTTTATTTATAATATATACTTTGACAGCCGCATCCGTAGCTTGGACTCGATTGATCAGTGTTTTTCAACTCTTTTGTTGTATTTGGCATCCTCGTATGATCTGATGATTTCCTTTATAATCACGGAGGCCTCGCTGAACAAAGGAATGAAGGGTTTAACTATCTCACTAAGTGTAAATCCGAATTTCCCACCATCCAACAGATCGACCTCTTCAAAATTTCTTTCTTCACTCATGCCAATTTTAAATTTTGATTATTTTCCCGATTGAAAAAAGGAAAAGAAAGTGATCGCCCATTCCGAGATACGTACCAATTATAATAAATTGGATTCTTGCAAAAATTCAAATAATTCTATTTTTTCTCTGATTAGTAAAAAATCACATACATAATATTAAAATCAAAATATTAAGCAAATTATAAATTTTTTTTTTTATCAATTTTTTTATTCTTTATTTTATTTTTTATCAATTTTTTTATTTTTTATTTTTTTTTTTTTTTATCAATTTTTTTATTTTTTTTTTTTTTTTAATCAATTTTTTTTATTTTTATTTTTTTTTTTTTTTATTTTTTTTTTTTTCTATCTATTTTTTTTATATATTCTGTCAAATTAGTTATATATAATTTTTAAACTTCTATAAATTATACATATAATAATAGATATTATCAAAATTAATTTTTTTATTGATTTGCTCATCTTTTAATTTATAAACTTTAATTTTAAAAATGATACATTGATTATTAATGATTTGTATGAAAATATTTTAATTATCAATATCACTACCTATAAGTTGTTATTACAGATTATGTCAGGTTCTGATAAAGATTAAAATTTAATCAAATCTTCTTTCTTAATTATTTGCATAGGTTTAATTTGAATAAACTAAATATATTTTTTGACTTAATTACCTTATTATATTTAAAAATTCTTTAGACTTATTTTTATTATATCATTTTTATTATATTATTTTTATTATATTTTGTATTTCATATTTTTTTTAATATAATTAAAAATTATCTTTTGTATTTTTAAAATTTATTTCTTTATTTCCAATTAATTTTTCTATTATAATTTAATAGTTTTTTTATTTTTTTATCAAATTATTTTATTAAATCTATATAAAAGTCAATATATTGACTAATTTAGAATACTCACTTATTAATTTCTTCTGGTTCCTTTTTTTTTTTTTTTTTTTTTTTTTTTTTACCCTCTGTTAGGTTAGTTATGTGTGCTTTATTAAACATTTGTAAGTTATATATATTAAATGAAATGCTAAAGCTAAATCTCTAACTCACTCATTTTGATTGTATTACCTCTCTAAGTACAACTTTGGAAGTGATTTATTGCTCCATTAGAGGTTCAGGATTAATTTTTTCTAGTTCTTTTTAATTATTTAATATTAATAATATATATATATATTTAATTTCAATTATTTATTTTTACAATTTTTACTAAAATTTTCTTAAAATCACTTTAAATTATTTGATTTTTATTTCTTGTATCTCAATTTTATAAACTGATTATTCTCTTAAATATTCAATAATTTTTTATATCATTTACAAATTATAGTTGTTTCCAAAAGTTTGATTCTACTTACTATGTTTTTATTATAAATTTTAACTTGAACAATTTTTAAATTCTTAATTATATAACTAAAAATTATAAAATTTATTTATATTATATATTAATACTAATTTTATTTATTATATTTTTTTAAAAAAATTTATATATATAATTTTTAAAGTTTTATTATTGTCAAAAAAAAATTTTTTTTTATTAAATTTTTACTTTTAAAGAATTGTAATTGGCTGATATAGCAAATTATATGATAATTAATAAAAAAAAAAAAATTAATAATAATTAAACTTTAAAATCTATTAATAAAAATTTTTTTGAAAAAATATAAAAAAAAAAATTTTTTTTAAATGCTGGCTTAGCCTTGTTTTATTTGTATATTTGTAGCAAAATTATATAGGAAGGCTACCTTAGAACTTACTACCTGTTTTCTATCAAATAAAACTCAATAGAGGTTCCCTTTATAGAAGTACTCATCTTGTGACTTGTTGCCACTCCTAATGAAGGGGCTAACCTGCCAAGGCTAGGCTAGTACTGAAATAAATTTCAAAGATAAAGGAGTTGTCTATAATATTTGTGAGCCACTGGTCCATGAAGTCATTAACCAAACTGATGTATTGATCTTTTATATATCCTTCTTTCAATTTAAATAACAGATCTTTCTTTTTGGACTCGTATTTTACTTGTTTTTATTTCTTTTTTGTGATACCCATAGTGATCTTCCATTTCTGGAATGTTTCACATCTTTCTGTCCAGGTTTTGTATAGAAAATTGATTATATTGATACATATTTGAGTGAGGCAGGTCTTTCTGTTCAATCCGTCTGGGATGGCAGTTTGGATATGAAAGATTAGTTCTTTAAAAAAGGCATCTCTAATATTAATTATTAAGTACTCTTTGTATATCCAGTTCATTTTGTTTATAAATTTGCTTTTAAACTTCTTCCTCTCTTTTTGTGTTGTGTAGCTTTTGATGTAAGTGGTTACAGTATTGATTAGAAACTTTTCGGTTTTAGATCTGAGTTGATTTCAGATAAACAGATATGTATTAGTCTTTAGTTCGTGGCATTTGGAACATTTGTTGTCTTTATATAGAGAGAGAATTCTAGTATATAATTTACTTTTGGTTGGTAATTTATTGTTTCAGATACTAAAATAAAATTTTCTAAGTTTTTGATCTTCCCGGTCGGTGTGATGGTTGCTTATTTTGATTGATTATAATAAGATAGTGATTGTCTATTAGTGTATTTATTTTACCACTCTTTTATTATAGTTGCATTTTGTTTAATTGAGAGGTCTTTATTTTGCTAGGTAGATTGTTTGAGTAAGCTTTTTTGTAATCAGTTTTATAGGAATTTCTATAGGGATGTAGTTCCATTGAGAAATTATATTTAAAGGACCATGTTATGTTCTTAGAAACTCAATCACTTTCTCACCTGGTCTCATTTTTTTTTATCTGTCAATCTGTACCAGGCAGTCTGCTTATTTATTGTGTTTAATTCCTGAGTATCCCTTTATTTTGTATAGTAAGAGTTTTATTTAATATTTAATTCTGTTTGTATAGACCTGTTATTTAAAGTAAGAGATTTAAAATTTTTTTATGTTTTTATAATTTTTCTTGAATTTTTCTTTTGGGTCTTAAGGATACCATTAATTGCTGCCTAGCTGTCTGTATACAATATTACTGAATAGTGTTTAGATAAAACACTGAGTGCTATAAAAATCACTATGATTTCTGCTCTAATGAATAATGGGTGTGTTGTTACTTGTCCTTGAAAAGTATGCTTCTTCAAATCGGAAGTAATGATAATCCAATCCAGATCCATATAGTATTTTTTATTAAAGTTATTTAGAGAGTCATCAGTGAATATCTCAAAGATAGCATAGTTTTCTAGCTTTCCTCTAATTGTTGCTAGTGCTTCCAGGCTTTCTGTAGAGTTGTTGAGTAGTTTGTTCAAATGCTTGTGATATGAGTGTATGCTTTTCAGAGGATGAATTTCAATATTTGCTTCTTGTTAAGTTGAAGGAGCATGTGTGTGTTCAAAAAGTGTGATGGATAGGAAGTCAGGAGAGATCCTGTTTCACCAGATTGGGTTTCTTTCTGTGTGATAATTTTTCCTTGTTAAAGACTTGCTTTTATGGACTGGTATTGAAATGAATTGTTGTTTAATAGCCATATAGCTGCATTCTCCTATTTGATCCTCCAAGACATTAATTGTGCATCTCTAATAGGGAGCTTTCTGGATTTTGTATATAGTACCTATATTTAGTAGTATTCTGGTTTATTTTTTGTTGTCTTATATCAATGGTTGGGATGCCTTCTTTTATTGTATAGATCTAGTTAGATCTAGTTATGAAAAGATTAATAGCAGGAATACCTTGTGTGAAGATGTTTTTGGTTGTGTTAGGGTTACCTCAGTCTTTGGTTTTCAATATTTCTTTAAGTTTGTTTTGTATAGTAGTGAACCAGCTAGGGGTAGGACCTAAAATAGATTTTTTATTGATACAGATGACTTGACACCATTTCAGAATTTTGGTTCTATTTGTATTAAAAAGTTGTCCTATTAAAAGGCTGTAGTATTTCTTTGGATTTTTTTAATATTTAGTAAAGAAAGTCTTGCTCATATATCCTCGATTAGAATGTCAATTTCTTTTATTAAGATCTGGCTATGAGTCTCTTGTGGCAGGTATGCTGTGAAACCATATCTTCTTAGGAGCCAAATAATATTGTATGTAAAGTTATTGCCTAGCTTTTTCAAAGGACTTTCTATTTTGTTCATGATGGGGTGTGTTGACTAGAATTTATTTTACAGAGTTTGAAGTCTTATTCTTGTGATTGCTCCTACTCTATTGGTTCTATTAATTCTATTAGTCCAGTTTGTAGTTGTAATAATAAT